CCTGTCCCTGCCTTACATTTGCTGCTGTGTGAGGCTGGGCTGACTGGAGAAACCAGCCCAGAGACACTCATACGTGTGTAAGGAAGAGTTTTCAATCAAGGAGTCACTGTGCATCTGGAAAACATCCTAGCCCAGTCCATCTCAAGCCTGTAAGTCCGATACTAGTGCACGAGTCCCTCTTCAGACTGAGGAGCCACATGTGATGATGCAGCGTGAGGAAGATCACAGGCCGGTGGGTGCAGAGGCTTTTGCATCCGATAGAGGTGGACACATGTCCTGGGCTCTCGCAGGTCCCAGAGTGGCCGGACAGCATAAAGTGGACAGCATAAAGGTGAAGGCAGAGAGAGGGGGGAGGTACACAGGGCCCACCTTATGAGAGGACCACACCCACAGGAGGCACTACCTGGCAGTGACCTGATTGACAGGCTAAACTCCACTTCTGCACTTTCATCAATCTTCAAGTTGACAAGGAATTGTGTAACCACCACAGCTGCTAAGGAGTTCAAAGGTCCTGGCTCTGCAGGCTGGATCCAGAAGCATCCCACCCAGGGTCTTTTCACCCTAACCAGCCACACCTCAGATCCATCCGTGGTGGGGGTAGGGGGTGCCAGGCTCACTTGCTTCCCAGGATCTCCCTGGCCCCCTCTGCCTCTGCCCTGAGGAAGAGCCCTCCTCCCTCCCTGTCGTTCTCCCTGCTCACCGGAACCATTACCTCCCCTAAGGGGCCCGCTGTCCCAGCAGGGCCTGCACCCACCTTGCTAAAGGAGAGCGATTCGTGGTTCAAGGTCAGGGCAGACCCGGAATTACAGTAAAACCAGAACCTGTGCCTTGTGGCAACCTGTTAGAGAAGAAAAAGGGGGCTGTTTTCCATTCAGAGGGAGCCCTGGTGGCCTAGTGGTCATGCATTGGTCAGCAGTTCGAAACCACCAGCTGCTCCTTGGGAGAAAGACGGGCTTTCTACTCCTGTAAAGAGTGATGGTCTCGGAGACTCAGGGGGCAGTTCTACCCTGTCCTCCAGGCTCACTTTGAGTCAGCAGCAACTTCATGGCAGTAAGGTTTATTTATTTATTTTTAATTGATTCAACGAAGAGTCCTGGGGGTGCCGTGGTTGTGTGTTGGGCTGCTCACCCCCAGGTCACCAGTTCAAACCCACCAGCCGCTCCAAGGGAGCACGATGAGGCTGTCTGCTCCTGTGAAGACTGACGGATGGAACGGGCTTGAGGGCAGTGGGTTTGGCTCGGTGGCACCTGGCAGCTTACAGGTGGAGGGTGGAGGCCTTGGGGCAGGCCGTGCTCGTCCGGTGGGGGATGGGCAGGCCTTCCAGGAAGGGCCAGTCCCAGGGAGTCCTCAAAAGGGGACGTTGTAATTAAGGGACTTAATGACTTCATGGGGACAATAGCACGTGGCGGTGATCAGAGGCCCAGCCAAGGTCAAACTCCACCTGGAGCGGCACTTGTCTGGAAGGGATGGGCCGGAGAGTCCATTGTTCTCCTAGAAGTGGCTCTGGGCTGGCATGAGGGGCCTGCCCTAGGAAGAGGCTGGGCTGGGTGCTGATGGGTGGAGCCGAGGTGGGGGAGGTACTCTAGGGTCCAAGGGGCAGCCCAGGTCACTCCTGTGTGAGAGGACGTTGGACCGGTATGGCTGGGCCGGAGAGGGGCCTGGGCTCCCGGCTGGGGCTGGAACTTGCTGGCCGTGGAGTGGCTGGTGGCTGGTCAGGTTGGGCGGCCAAGGGAAGGGCTTGCCTCCAGATGTGGAGAGAGGATAAACCGCGGAGGAAGAGGGGCTTCATGGCACTTCTTGATTTTTGCCCGGCCTTCTCCGCTTCTTTCTGGGGACACCCCTCCGGACAGCCACTCCCCCCCGAGTTCCTTCTCAGAGAGGAGTCATGAGTCTGCCAGCCACTCTCTGACCTGCCTCCAACCCTGGGCAGCTCCCTCCACCCCCAAGGTGGAATCCAGGCCAGTAAGGTGTCCCACAAAACCAAACTCACTGTCATTGAGTCAATGACGACTCCCAGTGACCCTACAGGACAGGGTTGAATGGCCCCTGTAGGTTTCTGAGGCTGCCACTCTTCCCGGGAGTAGAAGGCCCCATCTCTCTCCTGAAGTACAGTGTCCAGCCAAAGCAAAACAAGCCCCCCTGGGGCAGCATCTGAGGCCTGCAGGTTGACAGAGACCACAAGACCCCCACCTCAGGAAGGGAGTGGAGGTATAGGTGGTCACATGAGAGGGACAGGCCTGGAGCCAGAGGAATCAAGAGAGGCGAGTCACACTTTTGGTCCTGGGTGAACACCCCGAGATGCATGGCCCCCGGGCGTTGGCACCGACGTGCACACAGCAGCAACATGTAAGCGGCCACACGGGTGACAGCCCAAACACTGATCAGCAGAAGGATGGACACAGCTGTCCGTGAGGAAACGAAGGTGGGGAGAGCGAGGCAGGAACGTCTGACCTCTGGCTACGCGGAGGAGACCCCAGCGCCTCCCCATCAAAGGCTGATCCCTAGGAGGCAGGGGTCAGACATGCCTCCACCGACAGTAACCGCCCCCCCTCCCCCCAAACTCCCTTCCTCTCTGCAGGGCTTGACAAGCCATCTCAATGGCCACACAGAACTCAGACGACGGTCATCATTATGGCCCTTCATTGAGGAAGCTCACAGGTTACAAACCAGGATCAGGAAGCACGGAGTATACAGCTCTTTCGTCTGCAGCGCCACTTTTCCACCATGCTGGTCGGCACTCTTTCCCTGTGGCCCCCAGCCTCTCAGTCAGGTGGCCCCCTGGCTTCTGGCAGGCTCAGACACGTGTCACAAAGCTCCTTTGGCAGTGATAAATCCCCGGGGGGTGGCCCACTCTGCAAGCCAGCCTCCCGCCCAAAGGCAGCCTGGGCATGAAGCCTGCTACTTGCCTCCTGGCCTCAGTGCTGCTCCTTTGGTGTTTGCTGCAGCCACTCTTACCTCTCCCAGGGATCTTGGATGTGCCTCACTCCTGGCTCTTGGTTGTTGTGTTTAAAAAAAATCATTTTATTGGAGACTCTTACCACAATCCATTGATCCATCCTTCCGTCTGAGTCAAGCACATCTGTACGTTTGTTATCATCATCTTCCTAACATTTTCTTTCTAATTGAGCCCTTGGTATCAGCTCATTTTCCCCCCTCCCTCATGAACCCTAATAGTTTATATATTTTTTCCATGTCTTACACCAACCGCTGTCTCCCTTCACCCACCTTTCTGTTGTTCGTCCCCCTGGGTGGGGGTTGTATGTCAATCATTGTGATC